CCGAAAAAATCACGTTAATTTAAAAAATCATGTTAATTTACATAAGCTTTAGCTTTGATTTTCTCGGTTTAGACAAAGTTTATTTTAAAAATTACTTCGCCAATGAACTCATATAAGATGACAACCTCGTTCCCAGGCTCTTTGCTCTTGGGAAGCAAAGACCCTGGTCGGGGCTGATGACGTCACACATAGAAAATTGATAGCCGAAGGGGGGATGGAAAAGTCTCATATTACATGTTTCCACTTCCGCACTTTGCACTTTGATTGCAAGGAGTGGCCGTTCTGTACAATCATCTAGTGATAAAACACTCCTACGCATGCTTTAAATAGTACATATCAAACTGCGGAAGTAAGTCAATGTATCAACAGGATGGACAAGAAAAAAGTCTTGTGTATGTTCGCCATGATTAATTTGCGATACGCACGCACGTGTAAACATGCTTACTAAAGTACGGCTAAATGGCGAAACAAGCAATAAATATTCAAATTTTTAGCTTCGAGCATATTCCCCACCCCAGGGCTAACCTGCAGAAAGCAAATGCCCGACGCTGGGAACAATTACAGTTGAGAATGCGCGACATGCAACCATGCAACCATGGAATTGATTGAGACATTATAGTCAGAGGTTTACGGCACCCTTTCGATAACTACGTCATTTGGCCTGGGAGCCTCACTCTCGTGAGCCAATCACCTTGCGTAATTTACTAATGAGAGTGAGGCTACAAGACCAAAAAGTATGTGTGAGGTAATTATCGAAAGGGTGTATTGTGATGAAATGTTTTGAACAGAATTTGCAGTGTCCATTCAATACATGATGGACTGATGGTGATTCATCTGATTGTCTCATTAAATTGTTCTGAGAGTTCTGTTTATATTTCTGTATATATTTTAATATTTCTTCATGACACTTGTCCAAAAATCTATATGCCATCGTGTTAGGGACCTTACAAAATGTATTTCGGGCTAGATGTACGATAAATTTCAGCAAAATTATGAATGAAATGTCCTGATCGAGTGACGTCATTTTACATCAAGTACAACAGAATCGAGATTTTAATATGAAGACAATTTGAAACAAGAAAACTTACTGTGGTAAATCCATATTCGGCACACGAGGTTCGGAACGCTTCCGAAACTGTTCAAAGAAATCGTCAAAAATACTCATTTTCGATGGTTTTTGACGAGACAGAACCACAAACTACTTTCCATAAAGGTTCACGCCATATTTACAAGTATCTTAAATTACATACACCAAAAGGCTTGCGTGTTTGTATCCGATGTCTTCCTGACGTATCTATTCTAATCAAGCATCATAGACGCTTTGGCGCTTCACTGTCTTGGCATGTTTGTGTCAAAATATGAGTAGCTTTGTATTTTTAGTGCGTATCTCTTTCAAATTAGCGTTATTTGTCAACCAAGAGCAGGAGATCTGACAGTTACTGTTATCATATTTTTTCTTCGTGTAATTGGTAGTGATATTTGTATGAGTTTTTTAACGTTTTTCGAAACTATTCCATCATGGTGAAGGAAATGGTCGGTGGTTGTTGTGTCTGTTCAGATGAAAGAGGTTGGGATGAAAATCCACTTGTATATTGCGACGGACATGGATGTAATGTCGCAGTACATCAAGGTGAATTATATCTAGATATCATTCTGTCTTGTTGTCGTGAATAGGAGAGAATGGGGGTACCGGTAGAACATTTATAATCAATCTCAATGGCATGTTTATTTAAACTGTTTTATACATGCAGTCACTCACTTCTTCATAATAAAATTATTTTCATTTTTGACAAAGCTTGTTATGGAATTGTGCAAGTACCAAAAGGACCTTGGTTCTGTCGCAAGTGCGAATCACAAGAAAGAATCGCTCGAGTGGTAAGTATTGGAGCATGGGTTATATTAGGTATTTTTAGGGCTGCTTGTATGAGCTGGTATAAAGTGTCAAGATCCAGCCTCATGTATTGTTTTTTATGTTTGAGATTTGGTTCACATGGGAACCAGACCAGCTCCCGCTTAAGTGAGGCGAGATTCCGTCTTCCCGGGCTAACATGCATGCAATCAGCATTTCACCAGTCAGCAAACGAGGCTTGAAATTGTTTTACAATATGTGTGTTATTCTGCCTGAAAACCATCTAAAAAGTCAAAACAAGAATGGAATTACTGTCGTTCCAATTGAAGTGTTCCTCAAATATTGATTCAATACATTACCTCAGGCTGACCAATTCATTTGATCAAGTTCCTTGAAATATTCATACACTTCCTGTGAAAGAGCCAATTCCAAGAATTTGATCATTTTTGGTCACTTCGTTTCTATTTATGATTGGTTAGTTGCACAAACAACAAAGGTGATTGGTGCATTCAAACTATTTAACAGGAAGTTTACAATGACACTAGGAAGTGTATGAATATTTTGAGGAACTTGATCAAATGAATTGGTCAGCCCGAGGTAATGTATTGAATCAATATTTGAGGAACACTTCCATTGGAACGACAGTAACAGAATTACATCACCTAAAGCAGTTGCTGACTATAAAAATACCATTTCGTGAAATAAAAATTGATTTCACATTCCCGCCAAAATCACACACTCTGTCAGGAGTTTCTTTTTCATCTCATATGAACAGCCCTTTACTATTCAGTATTCAGCTGTATTTTACAAATATAGCCTGACACAAACCTTAATCCATTTGTTCTCCACCACCCACATTTAATTAAGGAAGGGAAAACAGGAACTGATTTACTCAGGCAACTGAGTCTACAGAGTCCAGTTGTTGAGCTCTAACAACAAGTTCAGGTATTACTGATACTCAGGCTAGCTTGATCTAAGCTCCTCACTCTCACTGAGCAGCTTCTTACTGTCAAACTTACAGTAAAGTTGCATTGTTCCCAAATGCACCCTACTTTATTATTTTACTCAGGTCTATCACCAGCAGATTTTACTTTTCAATTACAGAGACTCAAGTACCAGTACTCATTTACAATCTTTTCTTATGCCTAAATACAGGGTGTTAGCCAGGCGGCCGTCCGGACGGCCACTTCTGAATTATCTGCTGTTTACTATCTATCTATCTATTTACTATTTAATATTATCTGCTGTTTACTTTACTTATGGTATATGTTTTTATACTTTTCCCACCGAAAATACGTGGAATATAGCTGAATTGAAGTATCGTCAACAAACGCGCCATGTTTTTTTAACCATGTTGATGATTCTCGCATGAAGTATCAAAGAGAATAATTTAAAACCACTGTTTTAAAAGACAGCAATCATAATTTTATCGCTTGAGTGCCAATTACAGTAAAGATGGCTATAAAATGAGCCAAATGCGTATAAAAAGGGAAAAAAATATCGGCGATTGACTGATGTATTGTGTTCTTCATTATAGCATATACTTGAGTGATCATACGGTTCATACCATATTGTGTGCTTTTACTAATGTAATGATGGAAATGTGCATCTAAAAGTAAAAAGGTTCAACAAATAGAACACCACAATTCCACAACATTGCGGCCACACCTAAAAACATGTGCCCACGCCCACAAAATTATTTTGGACGGCCACTTTTGAAATCCTGGCTAACACCCTACCTAGATAGTAAATTAAGTATCTATTGATATACCTAATAATATGATAAAAATAGCAGCATATGAAAACTTTCACCATTTTTACTGATATTTTTAATCATGACTCCATTTCCACAGGCGTTCACTTCCTGACATCTCAAAAATTTCTAGAATTACACCTATCTTTAAAAGTGGTGACACAATTATTGACCAATATCAGTACTATCTGTTTTTTCATAACCAATTAATGCATGCAACTGGATAATTTTTTTGAAAAATACAATATAATGTATTTGGATTCAGGAAAAAACATTGAACAGAACAAGCAATTCTCGAACTTACTGATAAATTAAAATCTGCGATAGATAATAAGGTGTGGTTTAAGGTGTAGTCTAGTTTAAAAACTAGAAATCCCTGAAATTAAACCTTAATTTTACTCGCCCTGTGCGATTACTTATACTAATTATATAGTTGTGGATTTGTTCTCGCCCCACTCCATTCTCATTAGTAACAAATTGTTGGCAGTGGACAACTCGAAAATATTATGCTACTTTGTCCACTGCGCACAACATGATGAATTGTTAACTCCATCAAACTCGGATCTCATTCAAGTCTAAAAGTCATCTAGTTCTCTTGGAAAATTTCCCAATAAATTTGTTCTCAATGTTTTGAACCACGCCTCCTTGTCAGGAAAGTTAGTGGCTGTCAGAAATAATTCGCAAAGTTTTATATCTGTTGCTACAGCCAATGCTGGTACCCTAGGTACCGTTTTTGAAATTTTAAAATGTTTCAAATGGGCTATGGCCGCTATTTAGTGAATGTGTGAGCCCCAACAAAGATTTCCAGTACCCTGACTCATAGTTAACGTCTTGCATAACTGTGACATCTTGTATTTCGATGTACAGGTATTGAATTTAATATTGTGTGTACAGTGCATGTATCCAGGTGGCTAGGGTTTTCAAGGTTTGTTGTAGCAACCTGGTACCCAGGCTGTTTCTTCTACACTCTTACCTTGTTGAGGTAGAGGAAAGAGCCTGCCTATGAGGTTATTGTAGATGTTGACCATCATCTCAACAAGTAATTTCCCTGTCAGCATCAGATTTTATAAATACTGTACCGTGTACATACAGTAGTTAAGCAACGTTTTTGACATCACCCGAAAATTGGTGTAACCATTATTGGTGGTATTTTGCATCATAACAAATGACACAAACACACCATGCCCCCTGTGGAAATCAGCTTCGGTTGACCGGGTTAGCTTGGGTAAATAAAGTTTTTCTATCTATCTACAAAGTTAACACTGTTTTTAATCTAGCTCCCCCCCTCCCGAGGACCACATTCCATTGACAAATGTCGCTTGCTTATAAATTTTTCCATATATTATTTTTTTGTAGAAATGTGAATTGTGTCCAATAAAAGAGGGAGCTTTAAAACGAACTGATACTGGAGGTAATTGTGACTGATACAGTAGTATTATACAAGGTTGCAGTGAGTGCCACTGAGAGGGGTGCATTTTTCTTAAATGCTTCGAAATAAAACAAAAATAGTAATGAATCGTACAGTAGTTTTCCTCACGCCATAATTCCCATTCGGTCGACTATATTCCCGCGATCGGCGACAGAGTGTACCGAAAATACCCCATTTTCAAACTACGATTACTCGTCAGTTTGATGGGGACAATTTATTTTTTAAAACTTCTCATAGAAAGAACAACTCTTCCGTGGGGGAGCGGGATGCAGTCTGCGAGCAGACTAGTAGTGCTGTGCAAACTCCGGTTTTTCAGCTCCGGCCGAATTATAGCTCTCAACTCCGGCTCCGGCCACATCATAGCTCTGAACTCCGGCTACTTTGCAACACATATATACAGTATATGTTCTACTAACATGACAAATAAAACAGTAAAAACACTTAACCACGCAGAAAATATCTAATATATGGAAACCAGCCTGGAAACCATTTTGACAGTGTTGCAATTTTTATATAGCATGACGCGAGGCATGACGCTAACACTCTCAGACTCCACAGCGCAATTGTTTGCATGCAAACAAAGTACGTAATTTTCAAAGGTTGATATTTATTTGTTTCGCACTTTTTCGTTATCTACAATGCATGAATACACAGACTATACAGTATGTAGCGCTAACTCAGATGGCTTCATGAAAGCATGACGTTTGTACATGTACTGTAAGTTGCGATCGTATTACAGCTTTTCGACGCTGTTCCTGTGGGCTGTGGCAGTTTGAGTCTATGATGTAGGCTATGATGAATTCATTAACAGCAATTGGCAGTTTGTAGTAACTAATAATCGTTTGACATTTGTCTCGCCATTGACCATTTCATATTGTTTTCTTATCATTTTGCCGGAGCTGGGAAAACGTAACTCTGGCTCCAGCATACAAAATTCTGCTCCAGCATACAAAATTCTGCTCCGGCGTCAGAAAAACCGCCGGAGCTCCGGCAGAACTCCGGCAGCTCCGGCGCACAGCACTAATTGCCCCCGGGTATTGAAAGCCACTTTTGACACTTGTTTGTTGAGCCGGAAGAAAACAGGTCAAAAAGTCAATACAAATTGCGATTAGCGTAACTAAAACGTTGTTAAAACATCAAAATGATCAAATAAAGCAAAAATCGTAAAATTTGACTCATATTGTAAAAAAACAATTGTAAAAACTTTCTTGGCGAAATATCGAAATAAATATCCACAACTTTTCCAACTAGCATTCTAAGAAATCACGATTGTGAATATTAATGAGTCGCATTGTATGCCGGGAAGAGCTTCCTGCCTCCTCAGGACACACACACAAAAGCGCCTGGTTACGAAGCAGATAAGAGCTCAAAAAAACCCACAACGCCTCCAAAGAAGATTTACAACTTTATTGGCATTGTTTTTATTTAATAATACACCATGAAAGCAAAGCAACCATTATAATAAGACTTTGATGAGAATATTGCTCGTTTGCAATCGACGCCATATTGGTTGATTTTCAAAATACTAGTGGCAACTATAAAATTCGTATTCTTTATTCTTTGTCGTATTGAGCCAAAGACCATAAACTATCCATAATACAGTAACATGTTTTCAAAACAAACCAGAAAATGTTAAATTAATTCAACTACTTTGCTGTTTAAAAACGAAAGTTTAAAATCAACCAAGATGGCGCCTAATGAGATATGCAAGCAAAGAAATCAATAGTCATTTCAGGATGCGACTCTGTGGCTATAAGACAAGATTATTTTGCAAAGCAGTCGAACATACATGAATAGAATGGAAACAAAAAATAGCTTAAAATTCTTTACCAGCAGAATATTTCAAGAAATATAAGGAAAAAACATACTCCGAATAATAATGCTATCTTGTAAACTCAAGATATGGGCCGTTTAAAGAAAACAAGACCCAAATAATGGTGTTGATATTCCACTCTATTTTTATTATTATTTACATTTTACTCGGTTTTGCACCGGTTGCGCCTGGCATCATGCTACTTCCCGCAGCATATTGATGGCAGGTTACGAGTCCAAGACCTTCCTATATTAATTTTTATATTAATTTTTACTATATTAATTTTTATATTATTTTTTTCCTATATTAATTTCTATATTAATTTTTATTTTTTCCTATAATAATAATTTTTTATTATTATTATCATCATTATCATTATTATTATTATTATTGTCATTATTATCATTATCATTATTATTATTATTATTATCATTATAATACAAAACCGATTTGCAGCTACAAAGCTTCCTGCCTCCTCTGGACACACAGGGTCATTGCCAAACCAAACTAATTATTATCAGCGGCTAGCTGAGGGATCACTTCAAGAGCAGACATTTTCTAAGTATAAAGATATGACTATTACAAAGCAGCTGATGGCGGAAATTATGTCCCCACATCTCAAAGTAAAGGAACATTTTGAATCTCAGCTACATGTTATACGAGGAATGCGTCATTTAGTGGATGCGCAGTGCTTGTGAAAATCCAAATTGGCTTATATAGCGCTGCGCGGTTGCGTTGTAACTTGCTTAAAAAATTGTCTCGTATACCGTGGCCACAAGAGACCAAGTTAAAATCTTTCAGACTGGAAGCATTTTACCACCTTCATTCCCTCACGACGCAAGATGGAATTTCTCCAGAAAAATATCAGACAGTTGAACGTTGAGTTCATAGAGAAAAACGTGCCAGACCATGTGCTAAATATCAAGAGTTGTCTGTCGTAGAAAGGCTTGTTCGATGTCATACGCGGAGCAGAATATATAATCTGTGGCAAAGAGCAGATGAAAAAACAGGCAACTGCCAAAGAGCATGTAGAAAAGTGTTTAAAAATTAAATTGCGTGTTTTTCTTTCTGGATGGCTGGAGGTTGCTGCACGAGTTGGAGCAACTCTTTCATTTTCGCGTTTTGACTTGGCGATGATAAACATCTTGTAGTTTAAGCAAATGAACAGGAACAAGAGGAATGAAAGAAACGAAATTATAAGCATATTAGCTGTTTTCTCGTAAAAATACAATAATGACTGCAAACTCACTGTTGTGATCATCAAAAATGCCTGAAAAAGTACAAGTCTTCTTTTCGTGACTGCGGTTTGATGGAAAAATGGATAGTTTAGGGCCAGGAATCGTTCGATAGTCAGCGTTAATAGCGCAAACATTGAAGACCCTCCGAAGGTAATATTTGTGTTTATCCGTGTGTATTCAATTTCTACATGATAAATTTCCATAGACCACAGAATAGTTGACAAAATTAGGAGAGGATGAATGATGGCGACTACAACCATATCAAAACAAGATAAAACAAGAATCATAAAGTAGCATAGTTTCTTTCGAAGTTGTGACGACCTCCATAGACTGATTATAACCACAGCATTCAGAATTATTCCGGCAACCATGAAGACGACATTCACAAGACACGGAAATAGCGCGTTAACAAAAGTGTTTCGATCCATTCTAAGTGCTCTCGTGTATGTAGATTTTTCCTGGTTATCCTTTCAAAATGTGTTCTGACGCACAATGTATATGGAAATAAATTAGAAAGACTCCATACACATCCATGCACATTCATTTAATTTAAAACAGCTGTAATTTTGTCATATTGAAGTACACCCTTTATTCCAAGGCTCTTAAAACAAACCAATTATATTGCACTGTTAATGAAAACTCGTATCTTGTGTTGATATGGCTGCAGTCGCCATCGTTCCTCCTGTCCTAATACTGTCAACTATTCTGTAGTCTATGGACATTTATCATGTAGAAACTAGAAATACATTCATGCAACAACCCCTCGCCTATATTTTCCAAACATTGTTTCAACATGTAGAATACTTAATGAAGAAAAATGAAGAATACTTCACGTTATTACGCCAACACTGAACGCAGGCTCGTGTTGCTCACGTCATGTTAGCCATGGCACAGAGTAGGTGGCCATGGCAACATTATTATTATTTTTTTTGCAAAACCGAATAGAGAATTATCAATTTCTAAAATATATTATAAAGTAGGTATTATTTTGCTTTCTATGGGCTTTATTTTAATGTAAAATTCAACACGAAACTCTTTGTAAAACGTTTTTAAATGTGAATTGAAATTAACTGCTTTTTGCCGATAAACTCTTCAACTCCAGCTAGAACTTATTACTCGCACTTTGAAATGAAATAAATTTAATTCATACAGGACGCTAATGAAAATAATTTGCTTTCCTTTTTATCATGAACTTCTATAAAAGTTAATTTAACTAAGAGAGTTTCGCATACAATGCATAGGAAAGACTTGAACAACAAAAAAGTTTATAAATATATAAATACAAGATCATACATAAACAATTGAAAGAAACTTCCCTTGTACTTTAGGATTTCGCATGCTAAATCAATTCTTAATGTTTACGTTTAAAAATTAGTACCCTCACTCCGGGCTTACGCACGGAACGGCCGTTGGCACGGGGATTAAATACACACGAATATACACAGATATTATCTTGGGAGAGTTTTTAATGTTTGCGCTATTGACGCTGACTATCGAACGATTCCTGGCCCTAACCTATCCATTTTTCCATGAAACCGCAGTCACAAAAGAAGAATTCTGCTTTTTCGGGGATTTTCGATGATCACAACAGTCAGTTTGCCGCCATTAACATATTTTTACGCGAAAACAGCTAATATGCTTATAACTTTGTTTGTTTCATCCCTCTTGTCCCTGTTCATTTGCTTAAACAGTAAGATTTGCAGATGACTGCTTATTGTATATATTCCACCATTGTAAACCCAACTTTAGATGGCCAATTACTTCAACATGATCTCGAGAAGTTAGAACTATGGCAAAATAAATGGCAAATGGAGTTTGAAATCTAGGACCTCGGAAATGCGATTTCCTGCGTTCTGAGGGAGCTTTTCTTCGAAGTTCACACATCAAAATCGAAACGTAATTCGCTGGATTTTCGGGGGAAAAAACGTAAAA